TTGCTCTGCAAGAAATACATTCCTCAGGTCTGAAAGCTGGTAAATCTCTGCCAGGAAAGGGCCTCACTCCTCACTCCCTCTTCCTCCAGCTGCACACACACACACACACACACACGGTTTTGCGCTGGTGACAATGGGTGCTCAAAATGCTCAGTTCTTTCACTGCAGAGAACAGCTTTCTTTTTTGTTTTCTTGGGTAACATTAAAAAAAAAAGGTTTTCTCTAAAAATAAAGACCAAGACTACATGAAGGTTTGAAAGAAAACTTTGTGATATAATGTTATTCTTTTCACAAAAAAAAACAAAACAGTTTTCCAGCCAGTTTTTCACTATCAAGGGCAATCCAGCTTCCCCACTCCATGGTGGGCCTTCTAATACAACCAAGCACCCACACACACTTAGCCAGTCCTGTTGATGTAGGAGTTCAAGCTGAGCAGCCTGTTCTGACTCAACTTCTCCAGATCACAGTATATTAACATTCCTGGGAGCAGTTGGCAAGCTCTCTCCCTGACTCTTGCTTCCTAGATGGGGCTCTGTCTGGGGCAAAAAAAAACCCCTCCTCTGGGGGTATTTTGTGATATAATATAATATAATATAACAACTTAGTAATATATTTGTGATATATATATATAATATAACAACTTTGTGATATATTATTCTCTTCACAAATAAATAAAAAGGTTTTCAACCAACTTCACCACTTGAATACCAACAGATGTTTTTCCCATGGCTGAAGGGCTCTGTCTTAGTACCCCTGGTTGGTGCTAGCTTACATGCTCTCCCCTCCCTGGACAGGCCCTCCTAGCCTCTTCCCCTTGTTGCTTCCCCCATGTATGTAAAAAAACATAACTGTCAGTGCTTGGACTTATAAAAATGTAATGCAAAAATGTAAATGTAAAAATGTAACTCATGATTTATCTAAAGCCTCAATGGAAACAGTACTACATAAATTTGTATGTAAAACAGAAAAAATCCTGTGTCTTCTCTCATTTGTATTGTTTCAAACTGTAAGGAATTTTTCCAGTGGTTGGGCAGTGGTTGTTATCGAGGATCATCAGGATTCCTTGGTTACTGGGGATCCCCTTGTCCAGAACAGCTGCCCCCCAAAGCGGTGCTGGGGGACCACAATCAACCTACTCCAACTTCCTCTCCCCCCTTCAATCAACACAAATGGCTAGCATGACCTAACACCCGTACTGAGGTGAAGAAAGAAAAAACTGCACAGGCGCAATGAATTTTTCCCCCCTCCCCCACCAATCATCACATACACAGTGGCCAGAAATGATAGGCTGCACTATGGGGGAAGGGGGTGGTGGTTACCAGGCTACTGTTGAATCAATTAGTCTATTTGCATGTGAATCCTATTACAGTTTTCAATATGTCCTCAGATTGGTTTTAGATCTGCTTGTCTTCTCAAGTCGCCTGCCACAAAGAGACCTCACTGAGACCCCATTATGAACTCATTATACAGGACAACTTTTTATATGATGGACTTTATTCAATAAGAAATTAATACAAAATGGAACTTTAATGATAAAAAGGGTCAATTCACACAATTACGGAGCACATTCCCCCTACAGAGTGGCACCTATGTGTGCCGCCAGACAATTTCTGATCACAGCACCCCATCTGCTATTTGCCTATATCTCTATCCCCCCATGCTCGACTGCTTCTCTGCTAGCAAAAGTTGAGGCTTTTGTCATTTCTCTTAACTGATCTGTCCAAGCGTCACTGAAGACCTTGCCCCTGGTTTCACAGATATTATGCAGGATGTATGCTGCCACTATGTAAGGGGTAATGTTATCCTCATCAACTTCTAGCCTGTAGTTGAGTGATCTCCAATGGACTTTCAAGCACCCAATGCACACTTTATGCACATGCGGCACTCGCTTAGCTGCTTATTGAACAGCAGTTTCTGTGGGTCACTCACTTGCCCTGCATATGGCTTCACAAGCCAGGGCAGGAGCTCGTATGCCGCATCAGCTACTATTGGGGAAGGCACTGAAACACCCCGGATGACAACCGCTTCCAGTCCTGGGGCATATTGGCCCTTGTCCATCATCTCAGGCAGCAACGAGTTTTGAAACACATGGGCATTGTGTGCGCTTCCTGCCCATCCCATGTAAATGTTTGTAAATCTGTCTCTGTGGTCCATGATGGCTTGCAGAATCACAGGAGGAAACCCCTTTCTGTTTATGAATGAACAGTTGTCCTGGAACCAGTTTAGGATGGGAATGTGTGTGCTGTCAAGTGCTCCCATGCAGTTAGGGAAGCCCATTTTGTGGTATTCTTCCACCACCTTGCGGGTGTTACGTAGGCATATGAATTTGTTTGCTGCCAGGTCCTGTAACAGTTGGTAAACCTCACTGATGGCCCTCCCAGCAGTGCAGGGAGCCACACCAAACTGATTCACAACATGACGAGGGCTTGTTGGAGTGGCCAACTTCATGATGGCCATGGCAACATGCTTCTCTGGGCTGATGGGCTTCTGCCTGACAGTCCTCTGATGCTGGATGTGCGGGTTCAGCAAGCTAACAATGTGGAAGAACATCTCTTTGTTCATTCTGAATGTTTCTAGCCACTGGTCATCGTTCCACGTTGACATGACTATTCTTTCCCACCAGTGTGAGCTGCTTCCATGTGCTCATATCTTATGAGGCTTGCCCTGAATGTAGGCCAGGAAGCAGCTATAGTCTTTGGCAACTACACTTGCTGTTTGTTGCAATGCAAGAACAGCTTCCCCACTTCACATAACAGCATCCTCCTCACAGCAAACCTGCAGACTTGGCTCTTCATGAGTTTTAAAATACCAGAACAGAGGTACATCAAATTGGTGAATCCCATCAGTAGAACCATATGTCTACAATGTGAATGTTCGGCAGCTTTCAAGATTAACCTCTGCTTTCTCCTTAGTCTCTCAAGATTCAAGGAAGACATTGTCTTTAGCAAGATTTCGGCCTGTAGCGTAACCTCTGTCTCAAATGTCTGCAAAAAGTCACATTCCTAGATTAGCATGAAACCACTCCGGTCATTTACATGTCAATAGCTACTGAAACCATGTGTTCCCTGCAACTGAAGGTTGCCTGTATTTCTTGAAAAGAGCTGTTACCACATACCAAAAATGGTAGCCTGTGTGCTTGAACACTCTTGAACAAACTATACATGTCCCATGCATGAGAGAGCTCTTTTGGACCCCCCCTCCACCATTCCTTGCCCCCACCACACACTCTGTAAGAGCGAGCCCTACTCGCCCTTGTAGAAAAGGATTTGTCTTGGTCCATATATATAAAGGAAATGAGTGTCATGGAGCCCTTTGAAGAGTTTCATGGTTTCTCACCTGAAGTGATCACCCAACATTTTCAAGAATTTTCAGCACAGTAGTAGTGTGAGTATGCTTCTGAATGCCATCGGCTAGACTATCAAAAGTGAAGAATTGCCTCAAATGTCTGGAGATTTGACAAATCACACTTCTTTTATGCCTCTCTTGATAAAAAGTTCACACATCCCAGAACAGGTTCCAGAACAGGTCCTAACAGCATGTGCAGGCTATAGTGTGTATCATCTGCTCTGCTTTATGTTTTTTTGGCCATGGAGGGGAGCAAGAAAAGTCACATTTTGGAAGACATGATGGGTTCTTCAGGGACCAAAACTGGACCAATCTGGACTTATGCAGAAGTTGAGGCACTGATTGACATCTGGAATGAAGGGAGCATCATGATGTAACTAGGAAGCTTCAGGAATAAACCTGTTTTGTCTCTATTTCTGAACAATTAGCGTAACTTGGTATCAAATGCAACTGGGAACAGTGTCACAGTAAGATGAAGGCCTTAAAGTGTGACTTCCATCGCATAAAGGACAATAATTCTTAGTCTGGTGCCTCAGTAGAACTATTCCATTTTATGACAAGTTGTTTATCATCCTTAAAAGAGATGCTTCAGAGGCTTGTGTGACCAAGTTTGGGACAAGAGGTATGCATCACGAGGAACCAGAAACTCCCCGGTGCCAAAGTACTTGTCAAACCACAGCTACTTTGCAAGTTCCATGCAATCAGCCTCCTCCTCAAGAACAGAATCAGTCACAGACCAATGACCTCACTTGGGACTGCTCAAGGGACCTCTTTGGTATGTAGCCAGAAATTAGCTCCCCCTCTGCTCTAGTGAACCCATGCATTTTGGTACCAGACACCCAGGAGGCTCAACAGATGCTCGAAAGAAATAACTCTCCTGTTTATGATGAGGAAGAGGACTCTGGCTCAACTGTCATTGTGTCGCAGGACTTGTTAGGTTCCAAAGGGAGTACTGTGTCAGGGAGGCAATGGCAGAGTCCTGAGACATAGACTCCACTATCCTCATGAAGGGTGACTTGTAAGTAACACTACTGGTATTTGTAGTGTTCTGGATTTTTGGTTTTACAGATTTATACTTGTATAAATTCGGGGTGGGCAGTTGAGGGAGAACACGGTGCCGCTCCCTGTGGCGGATGCTGCACCTGGACACTCCGTATGTGTCTGCATGGCTGTAGCTGCTTCCAGGGGGAGCAGAGCTCCAGGCTCTCACCCCCAGCAGGGCCGCTGCAGCAGGGGCTGACTGCTGCAACTACCTGTGGAGGTAGCTGGTTTTTGGTGCAGGGCAAGCATGCATCATGGGGAGGCATAGATTTTGCTTCAATGTGCACCCTGGGAAGCAGGGTGCATGCTGTGGTGCTGGGACAAATATTTTTTTAGGTAGGTACAGACTTAAGAAGATGGTTCAGTGAGAGATAGTAGGCTGTTAGTGATAATTCTTGAAATGGCAGTCCTGTTAAAATAATTTAAGAGTGACTCACTGTTCTTTCCAAATGTTCAAGAACTGATAAGAGCTTTCTTTTTGTCTGTGAACAGGCGCTCCTACATCTTCATCTTCAAGAGCAGCTACTAACACTCAGTGTCAACGTAATTATTGAAAAAATCAATGAAAAGCTAAGGAAAGTATTCTTTATCTACTGACAGATGCATCTGAAAGCATGGCTATGTCCAATGCAGAAATGACATCCGAATTGAAAGATTTGTTCGATGTGTTAAAGCGTAGTGAGCAAGCCAATTTGAAGGTTATGAAATGTACTAGTAATGACATGGTACAATGTTTTAAGGAATTAAATCAGAAGATTGATCTCATTTTGAGAGGGGAAAAAGGTTCAGACAGGAGTTTGTAACAGAGTTTCATGAATGCCAAAATACTGGGAGCAGCATTGAAAGTAGCCCACCCCCAAAAATTCTCCAATCTCTTGCAAAGGAGAGCTGTGGTTCATGTAGCTAGCTGCAAGAGGAGAGCCCCAAAGTGCTTCAGGGATGAGGAGGAGGAGGAGGAGGAGGAGGGGAATGCTGATGTGACTGGAGAGGGTGCAGGAGTGGGGCATCTCGTGGGGAGCAGGTTCTCATGACACGAGTTTTCTATGACCCCCCAGGATTGGTGTGCTTCTCCCTCCCTCATGTACTGCCAACCCAGTATTCACAAAGCAGATTGCACTTCAATGTACCAGGGGCTGCACGGAGTCTGTGTGACTCAGGTTAGCTTCACAATCTATAACTCTCTTTTCTCTCTATCTACTTTAGAAATTTTTTTGAAATCTCTGATAGAAATAAAATATCGCAAAAGGACTTTAAAAAGTGTCCTTCATTTTTATTTTCCATACAAGATGCTGGGTGAAAATCTTTTGTGATGCTGGGTGGGGTGAAACAAGGAGGCAGCCAATAATATGAATCCCAAAGCTGGTCACAGAGATCTTGGGGCCAGCATGACCAAGGCTGGTGTCTTGTGGTTGAGGGCACTTATCAAGTAGATAACCAGCCATTAAGCCTTTACAAAGGCATTAGGGGAAACAGCCTACATAATGTAGCATAAATTAGGTATGGGGCAGGAAGACAGAGAGCTGGAAGATGCCTGTGCGCTGCCCAGTATACCAACCTTCTAATCAGGCACAGGCAGCTACTTGGGGTACTTCCCTACCCACTCCAGGTAATATGGAAAATCTGCCCCTTACCCCCCAAATTGTAGTGCACATAACTGTGTACATGCTGCAGTACAATCGCCTTCCTGGCATGGGACCGGTGGGAATGCCAGTGGGAATGCTGCAGACACCTGTGCTTTGGGGACAAAGAAGAATCCAGGACAGCGGTAAGTTGGTGGATGGTGGGGTAGCTTGCAAAAGGACAGCGATTTGGAGTTGAATTTTTGGAATGGGGTAACTGCTCAATGTCATATCCCCTGACAGCTCTTCGAAGGCCTGACAGCAGAGATGCAGCAACACAGACAGAGGAGGAATGGAGATACAGTTCATTACTTAGTTATGTATGTAATGGAAAGAGTTGTTAAATATCGTTATGTCCTGTGATAAGAAACTCCAAGTACTTGGATTCTCATATTTAGCAACCAGAGACACTACGCACTGTACAATACAAATTTCAATTTTCTTTTTGGCAGGAGTGAGTGAAACCTGGCAGAGGAGTGTGATGATGGAGGAAGAAGAAAATTCTTCTTTCTTTCTTTTTTTTCTTTTCTTATGTACATACTTCTTTTTTTCTTTGTGGTTTTTTGTTTTTTTTTGTCTAGAGTATACGGGCAGGTCTTGCAGGCCATGAGCCCATGCCTTGTTCTTGAGGCCCAGATCTTCGGGCCAACCTATACATGATCTCTACTGGCCCCCATTTGTCACCCTCCCCGGAATAAACATTTCGTAAAAGTCAAAGTCTTTCTTTCTTTGTAAACATTAGATTATGTGATTGGATTAAAGTATGTGTTTCTTAATATTTAATGTTAACTTAGGTTATTAATTTTTTTAATACAATACGGCCTTCTGTGTGCTTGCTGGAACTGAGGAAAATGTAAAGAGGGGTGGAAGAGGAGCAGGAAAATAGGGAAACATGGGGGCAGGGGTGCCCCCCCCCACCACTCTGGGCAGGAGCAGGGGAAAAAAGTTTGGGGTCCAGATGGAAAGAGGCTGAGGCTGACTTGGCCAGCCGGCTCGCTGTGATAAGCACAGCAGGGGTGAGTGGAGGATAGTGGCACTGTTGGGAGGAACACAGGGGCGGGGGTGCAGGAACAGGGGAAAAAAACGTTTGGGGTCTGGGTGGCATGTGGCTGAGGCTCATAAAGACAGGCAGAAGTGAGGTGTGTGTGAAAAGGTGGAACATGTTTTTTGGAAATCTCATTTTTCATTAAATTAATATAAGCAATAAGATAATCAACAAAAATTTGCAAGATTAGTACCTGGCATCTGGTTGAATCAATGCAGGAGAACTTAGATGAACTTCCATGGATTTTCGTGGATTTACAAGTGAACCCAAGCAGCACCTGGTGGTGCAATAGTTGCAAAGCAAGGAAAATCCCATTTTCAGGCATAAATCAGATCCACGTTACAAATTTAAAATGATAAAAATAACCCTCATGGTAGAAATTTAGGAGCTAAAAATAAAATGTCAGAGGTGTTTTAAATTACCATGAAACCCCCCCCCCCCCACTAAAATGATAAAATAATTGATAATGTAGATACACAGATGTGATTTAGCTAGCTTATGGTGATTTCTGTTACGCGGACACAGGAAAAGTCTAACATTGTAACAAGAGAGGTGTAATGTAGACAAGCGCCCTTACAATAAAAATGCAGTTTATATTTTAAAACCATTTTTCCCCCAAATGGAATAAACTTCATGATTTCCTCATGTCCCATTATAAGCCAACCAACAACTATGTTATTTACTTATATTTCTAATATAACATTAGTTCCCATTATGTCTAAATGGCAAATCTCTTGAGTTTGTTCAAGTACTCCCGAAACACATCACGCACTGATTTGTGTAGTAGAAAACATTCTTCAGAAAAATATTTCATACCTAGAGAGAAGATCACGTAAAGCAACGTTTCTCAACCAGTGGGTCGCAACCCAAATGTGGGTCACAAGAAATTTTGAAAGGTTTGCGAGCAGGTCCCCAGAAAAACCCATGAAAGTGCAGATTTCCCCTTGCATGCTGACAGTATTCCAGGCTACAAGTAGCTGCTTGGGAATATGGGAGGCAGTGGGCACGTGTGTGTCTGGGTGTGCAGATACATGTGGCCAGCATAGAGCAAGGCTGTGTCACAACCCAAAGTTGTGGATTTTTTGATTGTGTGTGCTTCGGCACCGCTAAATTATGTTCCCGCCGAATTGCAGCTCTTTTGCACGACGGAGTGTTCCGTTGTTACAGAGAACCCGCGTGCAGAAAAGTGTTTCCCGCCGTTTTGTAGCCTTCTTTGCATTGTGCATTTCTCTTGCATTTTAGTGATGCATGCTGCAAAGGAGTTCCCACCATTTGTATTAAAATTTGAGCCACATTATTGGCCGGTCTTAATTTAGGCACACGTGGCGGCTAGCTATTGGCTTGCTAGCCGTACAAAAGGC